CCAGATCCCTCTGCAAACCTCCCGACCCTTCCTACCCCTTTGTAACGCTGTTGCTGATTTATACTGAGCCTGAGTACAACACTCTAGAAGGTGATATCCCTTGGTGGGTAAGAGTAGCATAGACAGTTTATAATGTAGGATATCTGATACTCTGGGAAATCCTGCACGTTAGGTATTGTCTAATGGATTTATTTAATAAAAGGAAAGCTGTGGGTAGGTAGCTACCAATATACCAGTTCCAAAATCTTGGTCAGACTGTCCTCAGGCTGCTCAGCTTGTTCCTGCAGGCAGTGTGCACTGAACGGCGTTTAAACACACAGTGCTTGTGTGACTCAAATTGCTGAAGGTACTTTGGACTCTGATCTCCCTGTCTTTTAAGGAGCAGCGAATCTGGCTTGACAACAAAGATTTTCATAACTTGTTCTCTTTTTTCAATAGCTATTGCTTAGGAGTTTATTGCGGAGGAGTGGAGGAAACAAATCTCCTAAAACTTTGACAAAACTTTGCTGTAATCTTTCAACTTCTCTCAGTTACACAAAGGAGAAGTAAAAATCAGAAGCAAGGGTGCAAATTATCATGTCAGTTTGCTGCAGTCAGCCCCAGCTGTAGTCAGAGACTTGCAGCACACGGACGAGCGATGGGTTTTTTGGTTTTTTTCCATATCATTATTCCACGTCTCCTTAATTAGAGAGAGTCTTTGAAAGATTTGCATGAATTTAATAGCAGACAACATTTAACAAATGCTGTGCAATCACGACGGCCAACTTTCTTCTCCCTCTTTGCACCTTCAGCTCTGCATATCTCAGGCTGACTCTGCTTCCTGAATAACAAACAGCAGTTTCCTTCTGCTCTCAATTAACTTACGCACTGACATAAAGACCCATTTCTTTGCCCAGGGGAAGAACTCTCCCGGCCTGAATCTTAAGTTTGTCTCTGACTTTGTAGGTGATCCATCGCCTGCCTATGCCCAATCTGAAGGACGAGCTCCATCATTCGGGGTGGAATGCCTGTAGCAGCTGCTTTGGGGATGCCACAAAGAAAAGAAACCGTCTGATTCTACCAAGTCTGATCTCTTCTCGCATTTACGTGGTGGATGTGGGAACAGACTCGCGAGCTCCTAGAATCCATAAGGTACATTTAAGTGACTTTAAGCTGGGTTTTAATTTCTTGTATTTTGACCAAGAGACAGTGATTTTATGGATTCCAGCTTCAAATTAGGAGAGTCGAACAGTTATGGAAGCTTTTGTCAAATATTAGGAACTTGTGGGAGTTTTGGGACTCCTACAATTTGTTGATAAACTATGCACAAAAATCTTGTGCTGAAGAAAGACAGGTAAATGTGGTGTCAAACATGAAAAATGAGCAAGTTCCAGAATTGGGCATGCCTCGGCAATGTGAATTTCAGTCGAAGCAGTTGCAGACTGTATTGTTTTGAACTACAGGATCACGAGGCAGACTCCCACAACATGTTCAGCCGAGCACATGTAGATTGTATGTTTTTCAGAGATGAGTTCAAATTCGATTGGATTTTCACTGAGCAAAACCACATCTCTTCCGTAAAGGACCTCTTCCTTCATTTGTGATCCTTGGTTCCTAGACATGTGATATGTAGATTTATATTTTTTTAAAGAAAAAAATAAGAATATGTTTTAAAATGGGGAAATTAACATTTTTTATAAATCACCTGTTCATGGAAACAATTGAAATTTTCCCAAAATAAAACTTCCCCTGCAACAGAGTTCATTTGGCAGAGATACAGATACTGGCGTAGATTCGGGTTTGGATGTACACTTACACTTTACCATGTCTAACTATTTAGGGTCTCTTTACAGTCAGTAAAAAAAATAGACATTGCTGGAGTCAGATTTGTCCAGCCTAGTTTAGAGAACTGGTTTAGGGTAAAGGAATTGTGTCTTAAGAGTGTTTGTTTCCTTTCGCTGACTATACAGTTAGCACAGAGGGTTAGCTGAGATGTAAATACACTATCAGTGTCTGTGCTTGGCCGGATGGATCCTGTGTGAAACTTCTGTACAAAGTCACAGGTTTGTCACAGACAGATTTAATTCTCAAAACCATATTTTGAAGGCAGGTCATAATGTGGAACGTAAGGAAACTTCCAAGGGGTCCTTTGTGGCACCCCACCTGCCTGCAAATACTCTCGCTCGTAGTCTTTCAGTGTGGAATTCTTTAGAACTTTGCCAGCTTTTAACTATCGGCGCATTGGAACAAAACCCCTAAAGGTCTCTCCTTGTGCAGTGAGTTTTGTCTCAGACTGAGTTTCTGGCAAGTCTCAAAGATATTTTTTTTCCCCTCTGAACTGCTGGTACTCCAATGGGAGCTGATGTCTGAATATCGCACAAGTGGTGTTTCTGCCACTGATCCGAATGAAAACAAACGCAGATGTCAGTGTCTCACTGATGCAGGCATTGGACTGATTCTAACCGTTCAATTCTTGCTGGTTTTATTTTTGAGAAGGACAAATACATGTGATGGATGGTACTGGGTTACGGGGCAGAGTAGAAAGCGGGAGGGAGCAGGTACTCAAACACCAGAGCAGCAAAAGACACCATCCCCCTGGGACACACGCCATTCCCGCTCCTTCCTTGCTCTTTGAAACTGGAACTCTTAGGGGGGGAGCGGATGCTCTGTAGCGATCGTGGTGAGGGTGACTGTGTGTATACTCCTTTTAGGTTGTTGAGCCCGTGGAGGTATTCTGGAAGGGCAACGTGGCTAATCCTCACACCTCGCACTGTCTGGGCAGTGGGGAAATCTTAATCAGCTGTTTGGGAGACCCTGCTGGCAACGGAAAAGGTACTAATGCTCTTCGGTACTCCAGGGAAGGTACTTGTGGTGTAGAAATATCACACTCCCAAAGTACAGGCTGCTGAGCTAGGTGAATTTTTCAGAGCTTACAGTCCTTCTGTGCACACAACCACTCCAGCAGCTGTTGGTGTAACTAGAGGATAAATCCCTCAGTCACCAGGTTGTGGTCACTGCTCTGCCGCAGCTGTTCAGACCTGGCCTGGAGGAACCGCTGTGGGAGTCTCAGCCTTTCACATGTGTTACTAGAGAAAACCAACTCTAGTGTTGATAATATGAGCAAGAAACCCATTAACATTTCGCTTGGGCCCCCCCCGCAAAGAGCAAGGAAGAATTGCTCTTAAACATCATCTGTATCAGCTCAGTATTTGTGACTTGGGCGTGAAAGACCCTGTTGCCACCCTCAGCCTCTTTGTCTCATTGCCTAGTGATGATTAAACCTTTCAAGCTATTCTAGATTGCATTTCCTGTTTGAAATTTTTGAAGGATTCTTGCATATAAATATTGTTACCTATTCAAACACAAAACATGTAAGATCTAAAGAGAAATACTAGCTATTAGGGGAAATATATTTCAGATGGTAAGTGGTGAACGCTGATCCCTTTCACGGGGTTTTTCTCTTCTGGGTTGTGGGTAAACATGTCCTTGAATAGATGCATGTTATGTACGATTCAACGGTACTGTTGGCGAGCAAAGGCAAACAGAGGTGACTCCTCCAGGATCTTCTCTAAGATATCCCTTAATTGAAACGTTCTCCAGGAGGCTAACTGATTTATCGGAATGACTAAAGTAGAAATAGAGCAAACTGGAGCTTAAAAAATTCATTACAGTGTGATAAAGTTTTTTTAAAAATCCAGCTCTCGTTTGCTGTAGTCCACAAAAGCAACACTAACAGAATCACAAACTTTTCCTTAAGCATAGCGTTGCATTTTACAGAGAGTTTAGAAAACAGACATTTAAATATTAATATATTCTTTATCTTGTTTAAAGCTGTGAATCTGTCTGAGCGGCTTCAAACAATTTTCTTCGGCTTTTATATCAGGTGGCTTTATTTTGCTGGACGGAGAGACCTTTGAAGTGAAAGGAAATTGGGAGAATGGGGGAAAGGTGCCCTCCCTGGGTTATGACTTCTGGTATCAGCCACGCCACAACGTCCTGATGAGCACTGAATGGGGAGTCCCAAAAGTCTTGTCAAATGGGTTTAACCCAGCTGATGTAGAGAAAGGTGAGGGGCCATTTGTTTAATCTCTCAGAAGTAAAAGTGGTTCTTTGTTAAAAGAATACCTTCTGTGCTTATTTTTGTGTGCCCCGATCCATTAGGGCATTACGGCCGCCGCATTAACGTGTGGGACTGGAGCACTCACACCTACATCCAGTCAATTGACTTGGGGAAGGGCTCCATACCTCTGGAAATCCGATTCCTCCACGATCCGGACGCTGCAGAAGGGTTTGTTGGGTGTGCTCTGAGCAGCACGGTGCATCGGTTCTACAAGACAGAGGTAGGTCACGAAAGCCATGGCAAACACAGAACCTCAAACCTAGTTGTTCTGGAAATCAGCCGATCACTTAGGAAATAGTAGAATTCTGATTAAAAAGCATAAGGCTCCTAATTCCAGTCTAACTCTGGCCAGGCTGTAACATCGTGTGAGGGAGCAAACCTTCTAATGACCATGAGCATACAAGCCAGTGCCGTGGCTTTCTGAAGCTGCCACGTAGTCCCAGATCTTGGAGCAATTGCACTTGGCCGGCAGTTTGAGTACCTCTGCAGCCGCATTGCTGACGTCCAGCGTGCGAATCTTGCAGCAGCCGGAGCCTGGAGGGAAGCAAAGCTTACGAGGTCGTGGTGCTGGTGTGTCAGCCCACCTCCCAGTGCTCTGCCCTCCACAGTAACTCGGTGATGGATTTAATCACAGTTAATTGTGAAAGTCTCAAAGAGGGGAAGGTCTTGTCAATGATGTGAACGTTAGTGATCCCTTGAACACGAGAGGGCCTAACGAGCACTTGTGGGAGGAAAGGGCTGCAGCGTTAGCTCGAGAGCTTGCTTCCTGGCCTGCCAGCTGGTCAACAAACACATATCAGTTGGACGGCAGAACACGTGAAACCTGTCCCCGGCGTCACTGTGTGCTGCCTGCTGTGCAGCTGCTGTTTGGAAGCACAGGGAAGACCTGAAAGTAGAGGAGGGAGGGCAGGTGATGGGGTCGTGGGCAGGGGCGTAGGGCTGTTGCCATTTCAGGGGGCAAGCTGCAGACAGACAGGACCCCAAGCTGGAGGAGATCAGCGGTCTCTAGCTTTGCTGCTGTTAGAGCGATCTGTGTGAGATGTTGTTGCTCAGTATAATCATTAACATTCTTGCTGGCGGTACAGTTACCATCCTCACGCCTTGGTAGCGCTGACTTGCAGTGTGCATGTCACCTCTGTACAGGGCCTGTTAAATAAATACACTATTTGCTTCTCCTCCCTCTGTCACGCGGAGCTGAGCCCTCTCAGCTAACATCAAGGCAATAATAATGCTGTGTTCTCTGCTGCGCCTTCTGCAGAAAGGAGACTGGGCGGCAGAGAAGGTGATTGAAGTGCCCAGCAAGAAGGTGCAAGGATGGCTCCTCCCTGACATGCCTGGTGAGCGTGAGCGTGTTTGGGAAAGAAATGGGGTGTTCTCCTCTGCAGCTTTTTGGGAAAATCTTATCCTTAAATGGCAAACACTTCCTGTGTAAAATTCTACATTTCTTTTTGGGTTCTTTGTGTAACACTGCTGATGTGACTAAATTGTTTATGAGCTGTCAAGTAAGAGATCGTCAGACCTCTGCTCCCACACTGCTCAGTGCTTGAGGTCTGTTTCTCTAGAAAAATACTCAGAGTTTGGGTCCTTCAGCATGAGCTCACAGTGCTCAGGAGTGGTCCTGGGAACGCTGGTAGAGCCTGAAGCTCCTTTGAGTAGGCAGTGGGTTTCCAGTGATGTCCAGATGACTGTGTTTGTTCAACCCATATCTTAGCATATTTTTCTGAGGCTACTACGACTAGAATTTTGAAAAATAGGCTTGTGCTCTTGTTTGTTGTTGGTGTCCTGTCCATTTCCTGACTTTGCTACTGAATATTTTCTTGAAGGTCTTATCACTGATATCCTCATCTCGCTGGACGACAGGTTCCTGTATTTCAGCAACTGGCTGCATGGAGACATCCGCCAGTATGACATCTCCAACACCCGCAAACCCAAGCTGGTGGGACAGGTGAGCCAGCGTCAGAAAATCTGTCATGTGCAACAGCAGTAGAGTCTTCTTGTTTCCTTCTTTTGTAAAAGGAGAAAATGACAATTTACTTTTGCTTGAGAATTTTCACTATATTGCTTTCCTGTTCCTTCGATAGCTGCCGCCTGTTCTCACCCATTCCCTTGGTTGCAGGTGTTTCTGGGAGGCAGCATCACAAAGGGTGGGCCTGTAACCGTAGTGGAAGACAAGGAATTGCAGAGTCAGCCCGAGCCAGTTGTGATCAAAGTAAGTTTTCTTAACATGCTCATTCTTAGTGCTCTGCTAATTGTAATCCTTTCTGAAATATCCCTGCCCCTCCGTGGAACACGCAGAGCATAAACCCATAGCGGAGCCAGTTCATACCTTGGCTGCCAGTCTGGGCAGGTATCACCTTTCAGCACGAAATTCCAGCTGGAATCCTGGAAAGAGTTCTGGGTCCCCGGTGGAATTGGACAAGCTGTTCAGCTCTGCAGAAGCCTGTGTAATTACATCTCCCTGCTGTTGTTAGCTGGCTGGTTTAAAGCTAACGCAGCATGCATTCAGCACGCTGCCATCGTTGCTTCTGATGATCTTTCGACAACCGATGGTCGAAGCGCTAAAAAGTGCTGCAGCTCATTCTGCAGCAGTGGGTGGGAGCGTGAAGAGTTTGATGGCACCTGGCATCGTGATAGAAAAATGAAAGAGCATAAATTGTCTCTGGTCATTATCAATGTGCATTAATATTATTACTGTCAAGGCAGCTACCTATGGCAAATCGCTTGGGATGTTCAAGAACTGAACGTGGTCGCGGCTGAGATCTGCTGGCCACCACTGGCAGTTTTGGGGAGTTCCACATACCCCTTTTCTTCGTAGAGCAGCCTGTGACCTAGCTGCGGTGCAGACATGTTCGTATCTGCAGCCGTGCTGTGCCACCCACCTCCTGCTTGATTTTTGATGCTTCCATCCAGGTACAGGAACGTGAACCCTCCAGCCCTTACCTTCTTACATTACAGTTCTGCGAGTTAAGCTGGCTTCGAGGCTCCCTTTGACTAAGGAATAAAACTCCAAATAAAAATTGTTCTCCCTCCAAACCAGGGGATTTGGTGCTCCCATGTCAGGGATTTCAGAGTGCTGGAGGGGCTCCGAGCAGAGCTGCCGCGCTGTGTTGTTTCTCCTTGCTGTTGCGTTTCTTCTGTTCAGTCTCCGTGGCAGCTTGTCTTGAGCACCCTGTTCTCTGTTCTCATTGCAGGGGAAGAGGGTGCCGGGTGGACCTCAGATGATTCAGCTCAGTTTGGATGGGAAGAGACTGTATGTCACCAGCTCTCTCTACAGCGGGTGGGACAAGCAGTTCTACCCAGATCTTGTCAGGTAAGAAAGCTTTGGTGAATGAGGGTGACTGTTACAAGCCCGTGTTCCAGATTTCCGTGTTAAACAGCGACACACCTGTACCAGCTGGTGTGCAGAGCAAAGCTCCCAGGCAGGGAGGCTGAACCCAGTAACATTTACACAGCCCACCAGCCTAGGTGTCGTACCCACTGGCCAGAATCCAGCCCTGCTGGCCAGGCACACAAAAGATAGTCAGCACACGCTGTGCATGGAAATCTCTCTGGAAGTAGATGAGAATGGGAAGAAACCAGTGAACATGACCTCGCCTTCTGGAATCTGTAATACTTCCAAACTGCCTTTGAGTGTATCAGCGTGACTTTTTTTTTTAATTAAAGAGAGGAGAAGGTGATCTTCCAGATGGCCACGGGAGGGCACAGTGCCGCTCGCCTGCTCCTTTCTAACAGCAGCTATTCCCGAGCGCTCAGTCATTGCTAACTTGGGGGGTGGGTTTCACTCAGGTGATGTGACTCACTCGTGAGACCTGGTTTTCTGGGGTTCTCTCCATTTTATATTAAACGAAGACAAATCCTGCCCAAATATGGAAGAGAAGAGCAAGGAATATGAATCCTTTTCCCAATATCTCTTTTCTTGTCCCTTTTTCAGGGAAGGCTCTGTTATGCTGCAGATTGACGTGGATACTGAAAGAGGTGGATTGACAGTGAATAAAAACTTCCTAGTGGATTTTGGGAAGGAACCTGATGGGCCTGTCCTAGCTCATGAGATTCGTTACCCTGGTGGAGACAGTACTTCTGATATCTGGATGTAATTGTTGTATGGAGGTGATTTTGGTTTTTTTTCTTATGTATTTTTTTTTACTCTTTCTTCCTGTCTCTCCTCCCTACCCTCCACTTCCCTTTTCTATGGGCGAATCAGTTCAGCTGGGACTTTGCTACCTAAATGTCGAATTCCGTTAGGGTGAGCCACAGAAGCTCCGCTTTCTTCTCATTCTGAGGCAGCCGAGGGAATCTCTCTGAGACATGATGTACATCTCATTTCTCTGCTCCTTCCCCTTCCATAATGTCCTGTGTAATCGCTGCTGACTGTAGGCTTCAAGGCCGAGGTCGACAGTCTTTTAAGGAGTGTTTGCCTTGTTTGGTCTGCTTGGCCTTGCCACGTTAGGTGGTGGAGAAGCTGTTCCTAAATAACTTTGTCAGGAGGATCTGTTCCATGGGCTTGCCCCAGAGCGGGAGTGTCCTGGCTCTGCAAAGCTTAATTTTGCTCATAAAGTACTCGGCGCTTTCCAGCAGTCACAGCATAAAAACGATGCATATCTAATCCGAAGCCACATGTTTCCAGAGCTGGATTATATTTTAACATTTGTGCACTGATGTTATAAAAAAATCAACAATAAAATTGGTCTTCAAGTCAGGTGGAGCTTCACTTTTTTTTTTTCTTTCTTTTTTTCTTTTTAGCATTTCAGCTTTTCATTTCAGAAAGCCAACAATGTCATTTGTCTAAAAATTCTTTGGTGAGGAATTTACTTTCGCTGAGTCCACCTTTGTTCCCATTATTGCAAAGATTCTCTTTCTAAACTGGAGAAAACTGCAAGAAGCTTTTCTGCACGCTGCACCAAAGCCAGGTCCTGCTGGCAGCAGGGGTCTTGCAGGTGTCTTGCAGCTTCTTGAACAGCCGAGCGCTCAGAAGTCCACGCTTTCTTCTCTTGCCAGTTCCTGATGCATCTTCCTGCAGCTGTTTCTTGGGTCTGATTCTCTTTTCTGCCTCTCCAGATCTGTCGCTTCCCCATCTGTGTCCGTTGCCGGTCAGCGTTAGCAGTGTTGGAGGAGCTGGGTGTTAACGGGACTTCCTGCTGCAGCCTTTTGGCTGGGTCTTTTTCCGACTTTTACTGTGCTTCCACAGCAAAATCCTCACCTAGCTGACAGATCTTACTTTATAATCACGACTTCATTCTGTATGTAGCTGCTGACTGTCTCGCCTAACGTATTTGGAACCAGGCTTTGAGAGTTCATTTTGTGTTTTTGATGTAGGGCAGCTGGACTGCTGCCGCTCGGTCCCGTTGAAACCTGGGACAAGCAGTTCTGTGAGCACCTTGTAAAGCCAGAAAGCTTTCTGACATGGCATTGTAGCCACCTGTGTCTGATGTAAAAACCCATTTTCAGCAGCTTCTTGTTAGAAATGGGGGATGTTTAAACCATCTTGCTGCAAGGACTCAGTTTTCCGTACAAAGCGGCTGGTTGCAGGGGTGGAGGGTGCACTGCTAACCCGTGTGAACGCTGCTGGTAGTCCGTGCGGAGGGGTACATGAGTGCTCAGTGTCTAAACAACCTCCTGTTGTCCAGGAAATTCACTGATTTGTTAGGAAATCATCTGCTACTATCCAATACTACTGGAGCCTGTATTTTTTTCACACCGATTTCCTACATGACTGAGCGTTTTGGATTGGAAAAGGTGCACGATCTTCCTCTTGGCCACACGAGGGCAAACTGCAGCCTCTCTTCATGCAGTGCAGAAGTACATCTGGGAGTTTCCCTCCCTCTACCAGCAATTTTAGGTGGTGATTTTCCACAGATCACAAACTTGCTCGTGAGGGTGGTCCCCAGGTCCCTTCTCAGTGCATTGCAGGGTGACCGTGGTCTCTCCTTCCAGCAACCGTGAGCGCTCCAGCCTGGGTCTTGTCCTGAAATCTCAGTTGGAAACGCCTCCGAATACAAGTGTGTACAACGACCGAAGTGTGGATTGCTTCTGTTCCTTGTAAAAGCCAGATGTTGCATGCAAAAAGGTTTGGGAAAGAAGGGAAAAGCAAAGGGTGGGACTTGCTTGAATTAAAATATTTCCTTTTTTCCTAACGTCTGCTAGTCGGGGTGCTGAAAAGGGTAAGCTGTGCGTAGAGAGTCTCTGGTGTTTCTGAGAAGAAACTTGTTGTTTCATGTGCAGTGAAACACAATCAGCTGGTGAATGGGGAGTAGGTCCACATGCGGGGTGGGTCAAAAAAAAGCTGCTCACGCGTTCATTCCGCAGTATCGTAGGGGTTTCACCCCCTGCCCAGCGCCCATCCTTACTCACAAGCTCATGAGACTTTGGGGCTGCACACACTGTTTGATGCATTTTGCTGAAGTCGCGATCTGTTGGGAGGTAGGTAGGACTGTGAAGAAACCGGTGAACACGACCTAGCCTTCTGCAGTCCCTGGGACTTCCAGTCTGCCTCTGAGTGCAACAGCGTGACTCCAGTTTTTGGCATTTAAGAAATTGATGATCTTCCAGATGACCACAGTGCCGCTTGCCTCTTCACAAGGAACTACTGCCTGGTTTGCAGGCAGTTGTTGTCAATCCGAGGTTGCAGATTCATTTATATTTCTGCTGCCGGGTCATATCCAAGATATGTGTTTATTCCAGAAGGAGAGTCTCTTTGTAGTGATTTCAACAAGTACAGGAAGGCAGCAAGAAGTACTAGATCTCAGTTATTAGCTGGGAAAGTTATAGAACGGAGAACAGCTTCTGCTTCAGTGAAGCCAGAGCAGTCGTGATGAGAGTTTGCCATTAAAAAAAACTATTTTTGGTCTGCTACCTTGAGCTCTCTACTTCTCTGGTGAAAAGCGACCTGCTACTTTTGGGTCTAAGAGTGCAGGGAAGTGCGTCGTTATAGACACAGAAGTGTAAAATGGAGTGGAACACGAAATGTTTCAGTAGAATCTCAGCGTACGTATTCCTGGTTTGCATTTCCATCTCCATCAGTGGAGGAAAGTCAACTGTTCTTGTTTCCATTTCTTATAAGCTTGGAGCCTCATGTGCAGCGCCCGTGGGGACTTTAAGGGAAGGTGCCGATGCCCAGCTTGAGGCAGAAGCATCAGGTCCTGTCCATCCGTCCTCCCCAACTGCGTGGTGCTGCCACTCCTCTCGTGT